ATGTGCTTTGCATAATTTGTAAGATAATTTCGTATGGTCATTCGTTCACTGCCTGATAAATCCATTATCATGGTTGTCATGCATTTTTTGCAACTACTGTTCCTTGCCTGATGCAATACTTAGAAATTGACTCTTTTTCAACAACTCGTATTTTCTGAAGGAGTAGATCGATATACTTTTGCGGTTTTTTGAATCAGATGTGATATTTCTTCGACTTCAAGCTACAATAATGATAGAAAATCAGAAGGCCTAAACTTACACTATGTTAAATTCTTGCTATGCTTTCTACCTGGCCTGAGAATAGTACGTTCTAGTATATTCTAAGAATTCTGAGAAACGGAATATTCTCAGATAGATTATGAACATGAAAAAATGGATAAATATATAAATAAAGAATTACATTGAGAATTCGCATTCCCTATGTGATGAAGATATCAATTCTTTCTCGGTTTATTCAACAGAAAACAACTACTTTCCTGGCTATATGCTACGACGAACATTGCATAAGAATTTGATATCAAAATCTTCTGAAGTTGAGAATTTGCATTCTCCTTCAAATGAAAATATAGGTATCTGCACAATATAATATCATTCTGAATATTCAACAGAAAACAACTACTTTCCTGGCTATTTGCCACGTCGAACATTGAATTATATCTGTTGAACATCCAAAAGAAGAACATGAAAAATAAAAATCATCTGAAATTGAGAATTGACATTCTCTCTCAAATCGGATAAATAATATAATGTATTATATGATATAAAAATATAACTTAGCAATATGTTCAGTATTGAAATGAAAATTGAAAAGTATAGGAGAAATATACTTGTATAAACTCTGATCTTGATGAGCTTGATACTCGAAAAAAAAAAAGCATTCGTATCAGTGATATGGGAATTAAGTATATTTGTGTTGATATCAAACTTGAAAAACAATTGCTCTCCTGGTCCAGATGGAATAAACACTAAACTAATTAATAACATCCACACAAAAATCGCATCTCCTATAGCCCATATCATAAACCTTTGTTTCGCGAGTGGAAAGATCCCACTACAATGGAAGGAGACAGTATAGTTACTCCTGTATTTAAGGCCGGGGACCGCTCTCAATTAACAAATTACCGTCCTATCTCAACCATGAATAACTTTGGTAAATTATTTGAGCAATCATTAAAGCACAGGTTACAAAGTTTTCTGAGCAAACACCAAATACTCACTGCAGATCAATATGGTTTTATTAAAAACTCTTGCACAGAAGATGCAGCAATGAGTTTGCTGGGGGAGGTGTCGGGGGCCCTTGATGGGTCGAGGAAGTGCCTTGCAGTTTTTCTCGACCTCGCAAAGGCTTTCGACACAGTATCTCACAGCATACTCATTGACAAATTGAGTAAACACGACGTAAGAGGCATTCCACTAGATTTATTCAAAGATTATTTGAAAAACAGAATGCAAAGAACGAGAGTAGGAAGTAAGCATAGTTCAGAACAAACAGTAGAGATAGGAGTCCCCCAAGGAACAATTCTAGGGCCCATTCTATTTTTAATATATATTAACAGCATTGCCAAAATAAAAAACTTCGAGGGAAAATTAATTAGTTACGCTGACGATACCGCGATTGTCTTTACGGGTGAAAACTGGAGTGAAGTCCACAGAAAAACAGAAACAAACCTAAAATAAATTAAACTTTGGCTGAATCACAACCTTTTGAGCCTGAATATTAATAAAACAAAATATATCACATTTTCACCCACAAAAACCGATCAGCCCACCTTTAACATTAAACTTCATAACCCCAAATGTAATCTCCCCGAATGTGATTGCCCATCTATAGAGTGTGTCATAGTCATAGAATATTTAGGTATCATGATTGACCAGCATATTAGATGGTCGGATCAAATAGTTTTTCTTACTAAAAGGGTACGATACATAATGCATACATTTTACAACATCAGAGATATTTTATCTAGAAAAATTCTATTAATGATATATATGTACTGTACAACCATTTGGGGGGAAACGTTCACAACCACAATACAAAACTTACAAAAGGCTCAAAATACCTTAATTAAAATAATATTTAAAAAAGACAGAAAGTTTTCAACTACACTACTCTACGAGTAAACCAACTTGTTCAAAATCAGACAAATATACGTCTATCAGTGTCTCCAAAAAATTTTTTCTGAGCAGGATAAATATCCAAAATTAACCTCCACCACAAGATCGGCTACAGGGCAGAATATACAAATAAACGTATTTAGAAAAACTCTCACACAAAAAAACTATTTTTACTATGGACCCAAGCTATTCAACTTACTGCCCGTTAACATAAAACAAATTTCCAAAAAACCTAAATTCAAAGAAGAAATAAAAAAATTGCTCTTACTGTGCCCTGAGAAATTTGATATATTTCATTAATACCTACTTGATTGTTCTCATCTTAATTACTATTATTACTACCACCGCAAATCGTAAAAAAACTGCCATAATTAATCAACACCATAAATTCCATTTCTTTTCCTGCCATTCATCCACTCACTCTTGATTGAGAAAAAATTGAAATAAAGCTCAATTTCCTAAATGTAAATGGTCCTGCTGAAGGACCCCAACAGTACAGGTATTACTCGTACCTAGGTTGTATCCTCCCAGCAGAATCATCACTTGAAAAAAAAAATGTAATTAACTGTTACTTATACATTAAACTCAATTATGCAATAATGTGTAAAAAAATGATAAGTATGGGGTGTAGGAATAAATTTTGATTTAATTTGATGTCTTATTATTCGAATGAACTCATTTCGGATATCAAACCCTTCTCAGTAACCTGTAGTCGAGTTATTCTTTCAGCCATTCTCCATGATATACACAATTTCCATATCTCTATAATATAACTAGATTTATAACTAACTGACATCTGAGAATTATTTGTTGACATTTCGCATCAATTTTATAGATATATTTGATTCGTCAGCAGGCGGTTTTATGACTGTCTCCCGAGTCGCGCTATCTATTTAGGCATTTTTTTTGTCTAACGTGTAATTTCGTTCTCTCCAACCCTCCATGATTTATTCATCTCTTGGAGCGCACGTAATGGAATCTTTGTTTCGTGCGTACCTGGGTAGGAAAGGGAGAGGAGGTATAGGTATAGGTTCTGATCTATGCATCATTGTTATCCTAAACAATCCTATATCTATATGTATGAATAGGATGGAAGGAATATAGAGGAAACTGTTTTAAGAAAACTAGGAAAAGGTTAGGTTAACCACAGACACGTGTTCTTGGGTTTCAGCCCTCATCAGTACGCTGAAGGAAGTGTAAAAGCTAGATAGGCATCAACAATTGGTGAAAGACGAATTATCGGAGTATCGATGCCAAAGTATCGATATATCGATGTTTTGGTGAGTTTAGTATCGAAGTATCGATACCCATCGATACTTTCCGACCTCTAGACTTTGTTTCAATGTAGACCGTTTCCGCACCCGACATCTAATATTCTGGCTTTCAACGCACGACTGCACGACTGTTCATATATAGCTCTTGACGTTTTGGGGACGTACATTTCAGGTCCGATTTAGGTCTGAACGTGCTGGACCTTTTCAAGATGTACTGAAAACGTCCATTTCTAGACGTACTGGGTACGTACAATTCCGATGTACTGAGTACGTCCAACTTTGGACGTTATCGACTTTTTGTGTAATGATTTTTTTTTATAGATAGCTAGATGCTTTATGCAGGTAATTTCAGTTAACAATCTATATAGGTTATATTTGGAATCATTAATTGCATATAATTCCTTCCCTCGATCTCTGATATCTATATTGCAAACATGAACAATTTGCACATCAGTGAGATTACCTATTCATATAAAGGGTTTAGCCCTATAAAATCTTTTACATGCTGAAAAAGGCACCAGAGTCCTATAACAGCATTAGGGGAATTAAGGATGATTTAGAAATGTGAAATTAGGATTCAGAAATAAAGACATATTGAAAATTAAATTAAAATCAGAAGATAGATAGATAGACCGCTGTGACGAACACCTCGCATATGCACTCACATTCCTTGGCCAACACCAGCGACCTCTGCATCACGTGGAGGATATTATATAAACAGTTTTTAACCTGTACATAATTCTTCAATACATAGAATGTGGATGTAATCATAAGGAAAATGAAAAAATGAGTTTCGGGTCGCGGGATCTCTCACCGGTAGGAGCGCTTTTTTCCATTTTTAATTCAAAATTATATTTTTTCTAGGTACTTCGTCTAGATATCTTTTTTTTAACTTTCTGAGTAAAAAAGGCGGATCTACGTTGATTCAGGTATCCATGGTCCTGAAAGGAGAATGTACAAATGCGTCCGACAAAAAAGCACATCTATCAGTGCGCACTTTTTCAATGGAATGAAAACAGTGTCCTATTTTTCTGTACCTTTGAAAGTAGTTCCATCTATACGAGAATAGGTCAACTCTCTACTGAATAATGGAACATGAGGTATGTTTTATACGAGAGCCTGAAGTTTTCGAACCATTCCCAAACCTTATTGTCAGATTGGTCAATGGTCACCTTAGATCATACAGGATCCTGTATGATCTAAGATGGTCACAGTGAATCACGTGATACAATATGGACGCATGCTTAATCTATGACTCGTAGAACAACATAATTATTAACGAGAGTCTCGAAAGGAAGGAGAAACATCCTTGAAAGCGGCCGATTGCATATAATACCGATTGCGTGCGCCATTTAAAATTACGCTGGGTAAGCGTAATATATCAAACGCTAGCGTTGATTGATATATTACGCTTATAAGCGTAATATATCAATCAACGACGCTAGCGATAAAACAAGCGAGCTGCGGCGCTGAATGGAAAACACACCCTATATTATGTTAATATGTTGGAAGCCAGAATATTGGATGTAGTGTGCAAGAGATGTCCGCAGGCAGTCTTTTCACTACTGCCTTGTTTGTCTGTCACTAATCAACAATTTCAATGTCAAAGTTGTCTGTCGATTGTCGTTAATGTCATTTTGTGATAATCATTATCACTTTATCACTTTATTTCAGATTTTTATTTGTATTGCTCTAGTTTTTGAAAAAAAAATCAAAATCAATGATTATTCATTCAAATTTTTGATATCTGCAACCATATCGTAGATTAGAACAAAATGTCAACCAGTAGAAACAGAGAACCAGACAAGGACACAAAGTTCAATGATTTCTACACAGAGGTTTGTTATTTTTTTAGTTTTTTTGAATATACTATTAATCAAATATATGAAATTGCTTTGTTGCTTTAGGTGAAGGAAATTGAAAAACGAGACTCTGTGCTTACACCAAAACAGCAGATAGAGAGACTCCTTAGACCAGGTTCAACTTATTTCAACTTGAATCCCTTTGAAGTTTTGCAAGTTGAACCAGAAACATCAATTGAGGAAATAAAGAAGAAATACAGGAGGCTCTCTATTCTTGTCCATCCTGATAAAAACCAAGATGATGTAGAACGTGCACAACAAGCCTTTGAAGCAGTCAATGGAGCTTGGAAAACACTGGAGAGTGAAGAAACTAGAAAAAAATGTATGGACATCATTGAAGAAGCAGTGGGAAGAACTGACATAATGGTGGGTATTCAATATCCTGAAGTTTTGTTAATATACTGATCAATGTTGACTTTATTACTGGACAAAAATGTTGTTTAACCTGTGCTGAGAGAAGACATCAGAGTAATCAGGGATCCACAATAGTAAATTACTGAAATTGACTGTATTCAGTCATGTTCCAATGATTATTGAACTGTCAATAACTGGTAATAAGTACTGGCTGTGCAATTTTGAAAATTCTTATGGGTCAACTCCATAACCATGTTCATAACTGTATTTATTATTTTACTATAGGAATTGTGGAAAACCTTCCTATGGATAAAGGATGAAATTGAATGTCATTTCACCTTGCAAATGCAAAAAAGAAACTATTATTTTGATTTTATAAAATTGCCAATTTGAATTATACCTAACTGCTCCTACAAGTGATGATATTTTTTATTGTTAAATATTATTCAATTATTATTGTTAATGCATCCATAACTGAATTGAAATACATGGGGACATCTGGTTATATAGGGTGAAAGACAAACCTCTGCAACATTTTGAAGAATCCTTCATGCTCCCAATTTAATGTAAAAAATTTGGGATTTTTCTTAATATTTTCATAATTCTCAATCATTTTTCTCGAAATTTTGTAGTTTTTCCCTTATCCTATAGCTCCAAATATACATATAGCTATTTTGGTTTATCTTTTCTTTGTATGAAGTAAGGGAATTATGGGACACCCAGTATACCTAAAGGATTTTTCGAGGGATTTCTGTTCATCAGTATATAATGTTACTCTGGTATTTTTTCTCTCTCAGTTTTTTGTTGTATGTACTTACTTTACAAGACTTTCTAGCTTGCAGAGAAGCGAAAAAAAGCTAAAAAAGAGGGGAAAGATGGCATTCCAGAAGATGATCCTGCTAAATATAAACATGCCATTTATGTCCTCACAATGAAACTCTTTGCAGATATGGAACGAAAGAGACGTGATCTAGCTGAACGGGATCAGGAAGAAAGAAAAAGGAAAAGAGAAACTGAAATTGAAGATGAGGAGAATGCTAAGGCACAAAAAGAGTGGCAAAAGAATTTCGAGGTTTGTACTTTATTGTCATAAGCTCATTGCTAAATAAACAAAATATCCTCTTGGAAGGGCAGTAAGTGATACATTTTCTGATATGAATTCACCCAGTATTCCTTTTGGCTAAAAAAAACAACAATTTTTAGGTGTAAACACCTGTGTGTGCATTATTTTGTAACTCATTGAAATACTTTTGAATGACATATTTCCTTTTTTGAAAAACTGTTATTCTCAATTCAGAGCTAATATATACAAACTAATCTGAATAACCACAAGGGCTTAGGTGCATGTTTACATCAGGAGTGTTTCCATCTAGTTTCTATATTTAGAAATATGTAGTGATTGATTGATTGATTGATTGATTGATTGATTGATTGTCTTTATCACCCTAAGAAACATTATTGTTTATAATAGGGATATTACAACAAAACATACATATAACATAATAAATCAAAACAATAATAATTGCATAATTATTGGTTTTCATAAAAAAGTTTAATAACATAAAATGAAAATATTATCCATTCCAAGTAATCAAATTGTGAATGATTAGTAGATATGTATGTATACAAGGTGTTTCATAAAATATACACAGGACTTCAGGATGTGACAGCTCATCCAAAAATATGAGAAAAAGTTTTTATTTACTTTCACTCTGAAATGCACCATTTTTGAGATACAGGGTGTTGTAATTTGAGAAAAAAAAAACGTTTTTTGTGAATATCTCTGGAACTGTTCATTGCACAGAACACAGCATTTGTAAGCATTACCTGCTCCAGCTGTTTTGTGCAGAATTCTTTTTTTTTAAATTATTTTTATCCTAATTGGTGAAGATTTTGAAGGGGGAAATCTCCTTGGAAGTCTAATATACCCTTCATTGGAAGTCTTTGTGAGTCTCTGAAATTATTTCAAAGTTTTTCTAAGTCATTGGAAGTTTTTGTTCATTGGAAATCTGCTGTACACATTTTTCCCGGAGATTTACCCCTTGGGTTTTTCTCCCCAACTTCTATGTCGCTGGAAAAAGTACAGCTTTGAGCAGCCCATTTGAACCTTCAATGATTTCTTCACAAGTAAGTATTCTTGGTCATATGCTCTAAATTTGACCGCTTTAGAGAAAAATCAACTTTTATGTGGAAAATAGTTATTTGTTTAACTAGGCAGCAAAGTAGTAGATTGACTGCCGAGGCTGAATTCATAGCCTTAGCTGGATTCCTAGCCTCGCTACGCTCGGCTATGAATTCAGCCTTGGCAGTCAATCTACTTTGCTGCCGAGTTGAACATATAATTTTTTCTCCGATTGTTCATAATGATATAGGAGGATATTGTAATTGCAAATTATTACAATTCCCACAATATCTTTATTTTTCCTGTAGTGTTCAATTAAAATGAAATTTGATAGAAATCGCAGTTGTCCATGATAATCATAGTTTGACAATTCATGAAAATTCTGACAGTTGTCCGAAAAAATATCGGTATATTTAAATTATTATATAATGGACAGTGATAGCGACCTGGAAGTACTTACACCTCCAGAAATAAGGGAGGTGGCAAAAAATATAGAGTTGAATTTGTTGCCGGAGAAGTCTCGGATGAAATATGAAGGAAATTATATACGATTTATGGATTACTAATTTTGCTGATATATATCAATCAGCAAAGTGGGTACTTTGCTGCCTAGGCAGGAAAAGTAATACTTTGCTGATTGATATGTGTCAGCAAAATTAATATTTGCTGCCGATCGGAGAAAAATATTTTTTCTTCACTAATTAAATAAAATTTGAATCAACTACCTATTTCAAATTAAAAATACAATAAAAAATCATACTCAGTTAAATATCAAGGTTTGTTAATCTGTGTCCCTGGTTAGCTTCAAGAAAGGAAGCAATTCTTCAAAAAATTTACCATGATTTTCAACATAAAAGTTGATTTTTCACGTAAACGGTCATCTTTAGAGTATCTTTTTTGTGTAGAAAACAAATGGGAAAAAAGTTATTTATGAAAAGTGACATTTTATAATCTGTCGATCAACAGAGATGAAATTTCGAACTTTTTTCTCGTCACAGAAAAAATAATATATTCCTAGTAAAAGTTTGACAAAATTGTTATACATAATTAGTTGGCAGTGGAAACAAAGGAATAGGCTAGTGGACAACTTTTTTTATTTCTTAAATAGAATCATTACTCAAATACCATTCGATTTCCTATTTTTTAAGAATTTTTCAGTCGATTTTTAGGTGCTAAAATCATCAATAATGCCACGGTAATTTTCAAAGAGCTAGAAATTTACCGCCAGGTAAAACTGACGCCATGATTTTGTAAGAAGGGGCACACCATAGCACAGTTGCCATGTGTTGAAATACGATTGGGAATTCCAGAAATATTAGTTATCTGATGATTCATACATTACACTACACTGTTTTACCACTAACCAAATCGATTTTTTAACGCCTCGACACGTGTTTCGCTATGTTAGCATCTTCAGGAGAAGATTAAAACTAAATATCCTATTCTAGTGTGCTGCTTATATACTAGGTATATGTTCACCCAACTGTGAAAAATACTAACCGTCAAGTTAATGTTTGTCATGGTTGAGTTCACATGTTAATCTTAATTTTTATTTCACTAAACTATATAGAGGGCTATATGGAATAGGTCCATTATCCTTATTCATTACTCTATTACTATTCTTAAATATCTCCAAGCTTTCATATGCGTTTAGTTTTCTAATGTTATTAACTTGCTTATTATTATATATTACTAACCTCAAATTAGTTAAGCAAGTTAATAACATTAGAAAACTAGACGCATATGAAAGCTTGGAGATATTTAAGAATAGTAATTGAGTAATGAATAAGGATAATGGACCTATTCCATATAGCCCTCTATATAGTTTAGTGAAATGAAAATTAAGATTAACATGTGAACTCAACCATGACAAACATTAACTTGACGGTTAGTATTTTTCACAGTTGGGTGAATATATACCTAGTATATAAGCAGCACACTAGAATAGGATATTTAGTTTTAATCTTCTCCTGAAGATACTAACATAGTTAGCGAAACACGTGTCGAGGCGTAAAAAAATCGGTTTGGTTAGTGGTAAAACAGTGTAGTGTATTATCGTGCCAAAGGTTCCAGTCTTCGATATAATTCATACATTCTCAATTGAGTATTGGCAGTATTCCTAATTAGCAATAAAAATGCTATTGTCTCAAAATATTCCCTTATGATTTGTGGCTTATTGCTTATAATAAATTTTTGTACGTAATAATTATATTTTTTCTGTGACGGGAAAAAAGTTTGGCATTTCATCTCTGTTGGCAGGTTATAAAATGTCACTTTTCATAAATTACTTTTTTCCTGTGGGAAAAAAGTGAGTACTTTTTTCCCGGATATGTATCACTTATATATACACTATTGATGGCTTTTGTTGTGCTATAGTTCCGAAAAATGAGTCAATAATACCGTCTCCGAGAAAGAACTGCAAGTCCTTTTATCTTCCATTCGACTTCGCGGTTACATATATTACTAAACAACCACTAAATTCGCAATTTTTGAAATCAAATCACAGAATTAGACTGACAGAAGTGACATCAGATATTTGATTACTTCGAAAGAATGATAAAGATGCCTACAACGCAGGTGTCCCTACTGTTAAAAACTTGAAATTTCACGTCGATTATTTTCAGATTTCAAAATAATGTAATATCTTCTCAATATCGATTCGTCCTTTCTTCTGTCACATAAAGAAATAGTTTATTATACACTGGACGAATATTAGATTTTAGCTCATGGTTTTTTGTCTCCCTCCGCTACGCGTCGGGAGACAACACAACCTGGAGCTAAAATCTACTACATTTTTCCCTTGTATAAAAAATAACTATAATTCACACTAGAGACATTTGACTTGGTGAACGTGACAACCCCGCGCACGACTTTTGAGCTTGGTCTTGTCAGTTCTCAGCATTCAGCACAATGTTGCCAAGTCTCCCACATTCACGTATTTTGTTATGGAGAGTGGCAAATATTTGGACATGCTGGTTGCTTGAAAACGTCAGGAATAAACTATAATGTCACGAGTTCCTCCATTATGTTTTATTCAACGACAGGACTAAAACATCTTTTTGATAGCTTGATTATAATTGGTGACTTGACATCCTTGCTTCATGGTGGAAATGGAAGATTATCTGACCAATAACGAAACATCATAAATACTGACGCCAAATGGCAGCCATGATGTTACGATTGAAATGAGCTCTGAAATTCAATGATTTTGAACAACGCATAGACCTATTATTTACATAAAAGAATCGTGAGAAGTGTTACAAAAATTAATATTGGTCCCTAACAACACAGTGGAATATTTGAATGCCAATAATTCATTATTAGTCCACTCGCCCATTAATATTTGTATTGATGAAGGTGTGAGCTTCATATTGAACATTAAAAAAAACCTTCTGCCCTAATTAAGTTAATAAGGTAATAATTAAAAAAATATTCGGCAGGTAAATAAACTGATAAAGAAAGAAAACTCAAAGTCGTCTCCACAATTTTAATGTTGAAGGAGGCAGTCAATCCTGCTTCAATAAGGTTCGATACATGTTTCGACCATTCAAATGACTATCGTCAGTCGAATGAACAAAGTGTATCTACGACAATAGATACCCATTTTGTGATAATAATCGTGAAAAATGTGTTAAAAAATCATTTTTTCAACTCCTCGTATCATGAAAACGAATGCCGTTACTACATTGTTTCACTAAGCAAACCCAACTTATTTTGCAGTTTTCTACCTACCCTAGCAAGGGGGTTAGGTTTTTTGAAACACCCTGTATATGTTGAACATCTAAAAGGAGAGCATGAAAAATGAAAATCCCCTGAAATTGAGAATTGACATTCTCTCCCAAATCGGATAAATAATATGATGTATTATGATATAAAAATATAACTTACCAATATGTTCAGTATGGAAATGTATAGAGGAACAAACAAGTCATATGACTTTATTCTATTGAACTCATTTCGGATATGAAACCCTCCTCAGTAACCTGAAGTCCAGTTATTCTTTCAGCCATTCTGCATGATATACACAATTTTCATTTCGCTATAATATAACTGAAACTACACTACTTCAATGGCATAGAAAGTGCTTACACCCTATACGAAAGAGGCTTCTTTTGCGAGCATTTTGTTTTTTATTCATTGATTTATCTCTGAAATTTTCCGAATTACAGCTTTTTTTGCTTCTGCTTCTGCAAGGAAGATTATCAACTTTCTGAATTTATCGAGAAACAATTTTCGTGTATTGCCTCCTCTAGCAACTCGAAGAACTTATAATCTACGAGGCATACTGGAAATTGAGTTGCTTATCGTTTCCATTGGTATACGATCCCATTCTTCCACTAATGCATCTGCCATTTCTGCGAGACTTTCCGGAGACCTCTCGCGAGAACGTACCCGTCTCCCTAATTCATCCCACAAATGTTCTATAGGATTCATATCGGGGCTTCTCGCAGGCCATTGTAATGTGGTAATACCAGTAGATTCTAAGAAGTTTCGCACTATTGCTGCGGTGTGTGGTCGGGCATTATCCTGCATCAATATAAAATTATTGCCCACTAACTCTGCATAAGGTAAGACATACTGCTCTAAAATGCAAAGTAAATTTGGGCATTCATCGACTGCCTTACCGGAAAAACATGAAGGGGTGTCTTTCCATTCATTGAAATCCCTCCCCACACCATAATGGACCCACCATTAAAACTTTCGCATTCTGTTATTAAATTTTGATTAAACCGTTCACCAGTTCTTCTCCACACTCTTTTTCTTCCATCCACCATGTTAAGGCAAAACCTTGACTCATCCGTAAAGTAAACATTCGACCATTCAGGAATATTCCACTGTCCATAATTTTAAACAAAATTTCTTTTAGCAGCACGATGTTCGGGTAATAATTTGGGACCTTTTGCAGGTCTCCTAGCTTTTAAATTAACTTCTTTTAGACGTCTACATACCTTCTACTTACTTACTGCAACATCAAGAATTTGGCGAAGATCTTGCTGAACATTTACCGCAGTATTTGATCAATTCCGTGAAATCTGCAATCTCAAGAAGCGATCATCTCTTGGAGAAGTTTTTTCGGGGGCGACCAGAACCGACCCTCCGAGCGGTGCTTCCTGTTTGTTCGTACTTGCGGATTGCTCTACGAGCAGTTGCTTCATGAACTCCCACTGCACGATCGGCGTAACGTTTACTACGCCCATCGTTTACTAACGCAACTTATCTTGCTACTTGTTCAGGATTTATTTGAGGCATTTTATGTAATTTTAGTCAATAAAACAAGACTCTTCATTAATGACACAACGACAAATGGTCAAATATAGAGGCATACAACAAATTAGTTGCTATGGCAACGGCATTAGTTTTTTAAAGACAATGTGATCCTACCAGAGTACAACCAAATCAATTTTGAGTACTCTGATCCTGATAAATTCAATTTGTGGGATAAGCGTAAGGTATCAACAAAAAAGCTGTAATTCGGAAAATTTCAGAGATAAATCAATGAATAAAAGAACAAAATGCTCGCAAAAGAAGCCTCTTTCGTATAGGGTGTAAGCACTTTGTATACCATTACTCAATTAACACAAAGGGTGAGTCAAAAATTAAGAATAAATCATGGTTCGAGTTATTCCACCACCATCAAGGAGGCTTTGAAAAAATTTCACCTCTTTATTTTTTTTTCAAAGACAAATGCATTACCTACCAACATATAAAAAAAAAGAATCGACCTACTATTTTTTTTTTAAGAAGATATGTCAAATATCAAGTGCGTCACTTTTTTGTAACTGAGTGTATAACGAACATCTAAGAATTATTTGTTGACATTAAATCCTTGTCATCTAGTTGTTTTTGTTTTTTCATGTATTACAAATTGATATTCATCATACAGGACGTTCATTGTTAGATGAAAAATCATGAGAACATTGATTTTTTTTTCAGGAATCTCGACAGAACAGAGTGAATAGCTGGCAAACTTTTCAGTCAACATCGAAAACTAAAGATAAGAAGAAAATCAAGACATTCAAACCACCCAAGAATAAACCTGAATCTAGAGAGGTTAATAAGTAGGACTCTGAGAAATTTCAGTTATTATTAGTCATAATGTACGTATTTTAAGTATAAATAATTTGGGTTCCTGTCAATTTGAGTTTGACTTTTATATGATCAAATTGTAATTGATTTTTTGGAGCAGATATAGCATGGAGATGATGAGATATATATTTTATTTTGAATTTATTATTTCTGTTATTATTTGCTTGGTGCAAATTGAAGGGAGAGAATATTTTTGCTTTCGAATATATCGAATTTTCTGCTGCTATATATCTTGGCCACAATGATTCCCAAATGTGGGGAGTTAGACTTTTTGAACCAAAAAATACAGTTCATAACAGATACTTCCACGCCAAACTTTGGAATTCTTTGCCAAATTCCAACAACTATCTCCACTCTCTATCCTCCCTGGGTGCGCACGATATTCTTCGGACATCATAGGAATTTCCTCTCGTGCGCTCCAAGAGATAAAAAAACTTTTAATGAATTGCTTTGCGATTTTTCTGGATTCTTGTCAAAACTGAGGTTCCAGTGGAAACCGGTTTAAAGGTATGCCAAATGAGAATATCAACTGGGTTTGTCTTTATAATTCATGGTTTTGAATTGTATACCAAAATTTCTTCACAATGATTCCTAGATTCAGAGAATCAAAAACTGATGTGGAATAGAACTGGTTACTAACATGTATAATTAATTGGCCTCTGCTTCAGTGAAAAATTTCATGCAATTATTTCCAAGTTCTAACCCTAACTATTTAGTTCACTGTCGCATAGCGTTTTTTCCCCAGAGCTCTGTACATTTTTTAAAAGATTATTGAAATCCACAATATTTTGTTGAATGAAAAACACGAGAAGAGGCGTAGCGTAATCATCCGAGAAAATTCGACATACGTATCTATTCTCCTTGTCTGTAAGACAAGTGCAAGAATATTTCTGATTGTCACTTCAATCAAAATATGAAGATAGTTCGCCTCCTCAGGAAGTGCTCGCCCTAGACTAGCGAATTTTCTGGACTGAATACTTACTGCAGAACAGAGAACACAACGAACTACTGAAGAATCAGATAATGAGAGAAATATCTTTGCATATTCTCATCTTGACTAGATGAAACAAGGATTTGAAGATGAAGGTGACGTTAGGAATTTAGGTTGACGAATTAGTTCGTCTTCTTCTTTCATTGTATTCCTGGGTACTCTAGCCATTACGCTGTTGCCAGTGCCACAAAATAATTTGGGTTTAAATGAAATCTCGATCATTATTAGGAATACTAGGATATTTTCATTGGTACTGAAGCATCTTGCAAGTATACAGGGTGGGCCACCAGTAACGCCTCGGTCTCTAGAAGGCTAACCACTTATCTTCTTGGAATTCTTCCTCTCTAGGAAGTTCCATGTCAACATAGGCTACCATTTGAAATTATTTTGAAACATACAGGATGTCCCCAAAAATCACAAAACACTGAAGTTGAACTTTTTTCAATCGAACACCCTATATGTTATTTCATTTTGAGATTCTCCCTGGTGAGCTGATTTCAACAATCCATCATACTTGGGGTCTAGCAGTTATAATAACTGAGATATAGGGTGTGAGAAATCGAGATTTTCCAAGTTCAAGAATTTTTTATGTCTAAACCATTCATAATTGGTCAAAACGGCTCACATGTCCCTATCTCAACTTTTGATCAACTATCTACTGACATTTAACGGAAACAAATACAGGGTGGTGCAGAATTCAGAATCTTGATCACCCGGTATATGTCCCAATTAAATATCAGTAGATTGTTACTTTAAAAAGAATCTAAAAATGCAATAAAATACAGGGTGTTCCATTTGAAATAACAAAGTTGCTAGTTGTTTCTGATAGATGTGGCAACACTGAATCGATGAAAATATTTTAGACGGATAGAGAATGTTCAATTATCGAAGAAACCCAATTTTCAGAATGTTCTGTCTAGTTCAGCACTAGAATTATTATCATTATTAAATCTCTTATTATTGTTTCAACTATTATTCACTCTGAAATGATTATAATGATGAAATTGTAGTCTGAAACAGAAATAACGTACCAAACGTAAAAATCATTTATTCATCTATTTATTATATGAAAATATATCGGTTTGTTAGAGTTTACAGTTCCTTTATAGGAATACATTAAATAACTAGTAATACAAATTTACTTACATTTTAAAACGATTATACATTTTTCTTTTCAAACCCACGTTGTACATTTCAACAACATACTAACAATACATTTCATTTCAAAATTCAATTATTGTAACATTACGCATCATGGTTTCTGAAAACTTCAGTGGCATATTTAGGAATATATCTTCTACATGGGTACAACATCAAGAAATTATAAACTTGATACATTATGAACTTATTGATTGAATTTTCTATTAATTTTGTATTCATTAAAAAACAAATGAACTGATTCCACAAGAACAACTTCAAACTCCACAATGTTTTATTTTCTTCAACAGTAGTATCACAATTTTTTTTTCAATTTTATAAAGCATATTTCGATAAAAAAATTACACATTAAATTTCAACAAGTCATTCCTTGGCACAAACAAAAATGAAATTTATATCGAAAATTGAAATAAAGATATGAAGACCCTTTCTTTTTGGATACCTATGTATAGTAATAATGACATAATATCACTTTTTGTCACGATCAAAAAACTCTCTTAATGAAGTACAAATCCAAAATTGATTGCATGAAAATGAAAATCTTACAACGCCACTGTATAACTCGAGTATTTTGTTATGAGATACGAGTATCTAGACTTGGTCTCAAGGGTAGGCAACCTTCCACCCAGAAATTAGGCCTTTCCAGCATGTTCCTCCATAGGCTGAGTTCTCTACCAGTGGCGTCCATCCAGTCTACACTTTTTCCATAGTGTTTACCTACGAAAATATAATGAAAAAATATCAATAATGTGAAATATTGGCTGTATAGTTCAACCCAGGAGGTGAAATATTAGATTTTTAGGATTTCCTCTATTCGTCTATACAGGGTGTATGTTGGCACAATTCGAATTTTAGTAATTCAAAGCATCGTACAACACTCAGAAAAATCTACAGATATATTTCATAGAAATTGTTCAAAATGTTCATCATTTTCACGTATAGCAAAATTTATACGACGAAAATAATGTATACAAGCAAATTCACCTCAGTATACAAAGTTGTTATCAGTCTGGACGCTAGACGTATCTGTCATACCCAGTACAAAAAAAAATTTTTTTTCGTATAAATCTTTTCATCCGACACTTTTTCAGTTCCTAGGAGTTAAACTTCAACTTTATAGCTCCTAGACTACACTAGCTTACACTATTTTAATATCGACAATCAGTCGGGAGAAATCCATGAAAATGAATGCTTTTATTTTTAGAATACGCTCTCTTCTTAATGAATATTTTCGAGAATGCAGTGTTGCCGCTTCTACTAGAAAGTAGTAGCAACATTGGTATTTCAAATGGAATACCCTGTATTTCATCGTATTCTTTAATTCTCCCTGAAGAGCTGATTTCATGGATGTATCACACTTGGGGTCTATCGAAAATGATTACAGAGATGTATTAGGGTGTTCAAAATCGAGATTTTTCAACTTAAGGATTTTTTTGTGTCGAAACTATTCATTATCGGTCAAAATAGCTCACATGTCCCCATCTCAACTTTTGATACACTATTTACTAATATTTGATCGAAACAGATACGGGGTGGTTCAAGCTTCAGAATTCTGATCACCATGTATCTGTTCCGATTAAATATCAGTAAATAGTAAATCAAAAGTTGAGATAGGGACATGTGAGCCGTTTTGGCCGATATATGAATAGTTTCGACACAAACAAATTCCAAGTTGAAAAATCTCGATTTTGACCACCTTATATATCTCTGTAATCATTTCCGATAGAACCCAAGTTTGATGTATCGATGAAATCAGCTTTTCAGGGAGAATCTAAAAAAGCAATGAAATACAGGGTATTCTATTTGAAATAACAAAGTTGCTGCTACTTTTTTATAGAAGCGGCACCACTGCATTGCTGAAATTATTTTAAATGAAGAGAGCGTATTCTAAAATATGAGTATGCATATTTTCATGGATTTCTCCCAACTGATTTTCGATACAGAAATAGTGTAAGCTCGTATCGTGACATACTCTGTATATTAATCATTTTATTGTGTCAGTAAGAGAATAGTCAACTTCAAAAGATTTTCTTGGAATGAAAATGGACGACTTTTGAGCCGATTGCAGAAAAAAACTGGCTTATATTTTACCAGCAGTCCTCGCATTCGTTGTTTTGCCATATACATTATTATTATAATATATTTTTTCAGTTCAATATTCATCAAGACAATATCATTATTTTATTTTCTACTTCTTTTTAGTTTCGCTGTTTCTTTAGTTTTTCAAACTACCATTTATTTCAACTTCATTTTAGTTCACTTGAATTTCCCAATTTTGACGAAAGAATCATAATATCCGACTTCTAGAACCCCAGATGATGATTCTGAATGGAATCGGAACATAATTACAAAACTCGTCCCCAATATTGGATCTACCATCTTGAATTTCCTAATTTCGACGAAGGAATCATAATTTTTGATCCCGAAAACGCCCACTCAGAAATTTTGAATAGAATCGGTATAAAATTACAAAACTCGTCTGGTATATTGGTTCCACCGTCTAGAATTTCCAAATCCCGCCCATTCCAAATTTTGACAAAAGAATCATAGTCTCCGACCCTGAAACCACCCAGATAACAATTTTGAAGAGAGTCGGATCATAATTACAATACTCGTCTGCCAATGGGTCCGCCATATTGAATTTCTAAATTTTGACGAAAGAATCATAATCTCCGACCCCGAGAACCACCAGATACCAAATTGAATAAAATCGGATCCTAATTACAAAATCCGCCATCTTGAATTCCTTTATTTTGACGAAGGAATCATAATCCCCCATCACAAAACTCGTCCACCATATTGGTTCCACCATCTTGAATGTCCAAATTCCGCCTGAATTTTCATATCCTGATGAAAGAATCATAATCTCCGACCCGAAAAACCCCCAGATACCAATTTTGAATAGAATCGGACCATAATTACAAAACTCGCCCGATATATTAGATCCGCCATCTTGAATTTCCTAATAATACCGGGATAAAACCAATCCTATAACCTGCTCCCGATTCTAAGCTACCTCCCCACCAATTTTCTGCCGAATCGATCCAGTAGTTTCGGAGCCGATTCAATACATATACAAACAAACAAACAATCAAATTTTTCCTCTTTATAATATCAGTATAGATTAGGGTCCCTTGATGTAAATTGACGTATTTGTCATCTAACAGGGTACGGACAGATCATAGCTCCTTTCTCTTTTAATCATCTAGTGACTTTGGTTTCGTGTATTATTGGTATCCCTGACATGACATTGCTGTCACGTAACATTCATAGGCGGTAAAAGAAATCTTACAAAATTTTTATTTCATACTAAATTATTCAATTCGGTTTTGGAAGGATGGTAAAATGTGCTGCGTTAGGCTGTATCAATCAGTTGGATGGCAAATTTTGAATTTGTCATCTTTCCATCAAATGCAAATTAACTTAGAACATGGAAAGTGAAGTGACCAAATGGGGAATATTGACAAATACATCAGCAAAATATTCGAAAATCCTCAATATAATCTAAAAAACAACAAATGTCAGAAATCTAGTGTTTATCCCTATAGAGATGAATGAAAATGGAACTATATAACTGTTCCACAAACACTTTGGAGTGAGAGGAGACGAGGATCTGTCCTTACCCTGTTGATGACAAATACGACAATTCACATCAAGGGACCCTAGTATACCGGGTGGCTACGGAAGTATTGCCTACGGAATATCTCAGTTATTGTATGAAGTAGGTTTGTGAAATTTGGAGCGTCGATATAATGACATAAGAGCTAGAATTTGAGCATATTGACATGTCGAAATTAACTTCCGGTCTGGCCGGAAGTAACATCAACTTTCTTATTTCAAATGGAAACCCTATTTTTTTTTCTTCTCGCTTCATTCAGCATTCAATTCCCTTTCTTATGACATATCACAAGTTGGTATCTAACCAGAAACTAGATCAGAAAAAAATTATTATTGAAATTCACCGAGTAGGCCGTGGAAGCGTATTTCATTTCAAAAAATGACTTTCTATTATATCATTGGAAAGGAATGGTTATGCTGAATAGTACAGGCAAGAAAAAGTTGTATGTTCCTATTTGAGTTATGGACCTACAGAGTATTGTTTTTTTTCCAATTCTTCCAATATTTTTTTTGGCGGCTTTTTATAACGCCGACGAATGAAAATAAAATATCGCAGTAGTAGCAACTGCTATCAAGTGACGTATGGTTTCCATAGCCAACTTTTCAGTTTTTGGCTTTCATTTTGCTTCCACGGCCTACTCGGTGAATTTCAATAATAAGTTTTTTCTGATCTAGTTCCTGGTTAGATACCAACTTGTGATATGTCATTAGAAAGGAAATTGAATGCTGAATGAACCGGGAAGAAAAAAAAAAGGGTTCCCATTTGAAATAAGAAAGTTGATGTTACTTCCGGTCAGACCGGAAGTTAACTTCGACATGTCAATATGCTCAAATTCTAGCTCTTATGTCATTATATCGACGCTCCAAATTTCACAAACCTACTTCATACAATAACTGAGATATTTCGTAGGCAATACTTCCGTAGCCACCCGGTATATGACCTTGAGACGTACCTGTTCCCAAAGAGAACCTCACGCCGCCCAGGAACTCGTTGCTGGCCAGCCTGTCGTGGTCCCAGACGGTCAGCTCGAGACATCTCTCGGCCAACTCTTGCAGCGTCACGTCTTCGTACACGAACTTGTAGTTCCACACGGGGTTCACCGTCTTCCGGACCACCGGAGTCTTCTGCTTGGAGTTGCGGCCCTTGTCCGGGAGCAGGTAACTGTGGACAGAGAGATCAGATTGAGATGTTATAAACTCCCTAGCCCTGGATAGAGTTCCTAAATGTATTTGACACTGCTGTTTTGAAGTTTTTTGTATATGGGTTGCGTGCAAGAACTGTCAGATGACCGACGCTGGAGGCACAACATTGAAACACAACCTCACTTTTCTTATTTGTTTACAAGTGATCCAAATAGTTTTCTACAATTATTTTGGCATACGAATCGTATTTTTCCGCTATTCATCAATTCGCTCATACCATCACATTGTGCTGTTGTAAAATGGACAAAAACTGCAGCGGAAGACATTATGTTTTAAAAGTAAGTACCTACTATAGACACTCACATATAGTTTTCATTTTTGAGATTTGGTAATAGAAGAGCTAATAGAAATACACCTGAAATTTCTAAAATAATGCAAGAAGATTGGATACATGCAATCAATCGGGAGGAACTGGTCTGACATGCTGACGATCGTGTGTGTTGTAGACATCTTCAACCTATTAGCAGTATTAGCTTGTATTGCAGAAGTGGCAGAAGGCAGAAGGATTTTTGAAAAGGAATGACAACATTTCATAATGATAACTATGTGAGATTACTATTTACCTGGAAAAACGGTAAAACTGCATTTATCATGCGATGGTTTTTTTTTCGAAAATTTTTTTGGTACTTACGTATTTTTGTCTGAAAAACACGAGTTTGATAATGAAAATGTGAACAAACCAATATTTATCTAGATATTTCAAGAAAAAGTTCGAAATTTCGCCTTCTTTCTCCCTTTGTGTTGGGGCATTTAAATATATATATATATATATATATATAAATTGTCCAATATGATGAAAAAAAAAAGGGAAAATTGTTCTTAATGCCATCCAGAAGACAGGCGAAAAGAAGATGAAATTTGTAACTTTTTAGTCAAATATCTTAATAAATAATGGTTTGTTCACATTTTCATCATCAAATCCGCGTTTCTCAGACAAAAATACGTAAGTACTAAAAAAATGTGCGAAAAAAAAAACCATCGCATGATAAATGCAGTTTTACCTTTTTAAGTAGAGTGGATTGTAGTACATGTTAATATGATAGTTGCAATTTGATCATTGGAATGAATTCTGCATTCATTGCCACGAGGCATATTATCGTTTTCAGAAAGAAAGTTGAGAATGTATTGAGTTAAAAATGCCCGTTTATTATGAACATTCAAGAAAATTTCCTCGAATTCAGAGATGACTTTGTTGAATAAAATATACGAATACAAAACTAACTGCACAATCAAAGTTTTTCTCTTTTTCCTCTACTCATACTTTTTATGAGAGAGTAATTGTCTTCGATTATTTCATCATTATAAATTAAGCTCTGTTTACTACTGTACCTACCTAGATGGAGTAAAATCCTCGCGGTGAATTGTGAATTTTTCGATAGTTCTTTGTCCAACAGGAAACAAAAAGCATGAACTTTTGGAACAACCACATAATTCCCCCGACAAAAGCGAACACAACACTTGAAAGGCATTGGTATTTCGCCTATCACAACACAAAATATTTCACAAAAAAGTAATTTTTCCGCCAATTGTTTTGATGAATAAACAACAAAAGAATTCGGGACCGCTTCATAAAAAAACATACGTGAATCACTGAACATGGATTAACACGAACTGGCGCGTTAGTCGACAAGCGGTAAAACACTGGCCTCTCTTAGGTGACGTCACGAGCTGTTTACGTCAGAGTCTGCTGGCCTTCTAATCTCGATGGTAACGGTCTGACCGACGTCGTTTGCCGCGTCGGCAACTTCTGGCAAGCAGGTTTTTGGCCGACGTAATAACGACCGAAATTGTTTGCTGGGAAGTTCTCAGTTCTCTGGGAAGAAATGGGGATTCTAGAAGAGAACGCTTACCTTTTACAGAAGGGATCCGAAGTTCCATGCGCTTTCACGGGAGTCAACGATTTCGCTTCCTTGACCAGCACATGGAGGGCCCCTCGTGATCTTTTGCCCTTCTTCTGAACTGTCATATCAGGCGGCACGAACTTCAAGCACACCAGCACGTCACCCTTGTACGTTGGCACGTCTTCGAACGGTTCAGTCTGAAAATAAAACTTTCAGACCAAGAGCAATACCGAGTGTTACGAATTCGTGGCTAAGCATGGGGATCTCGGTAACCTTGAGAGATACAGTTTAGATTTAAATTGGGGCAAAGTTGCACTATTTCAAGCTCAACATAATGCTGTTTTGAAATTGGAAAAATTTCAATTATTTCTAGAGATATCCGGGAACAGAGTAAAATATGCAAAATAGTTTAAATTTATTTACTCAGTTTATTTGAAGAGATATTTCAGAATGAATGTCACTTCATCATTGCCACTTTTCCGTCTCTACAAAATGGAATTGTCAAATTGGGAATCCTTCGTTTCTTCTTCGAGCGGCCATCATCAATAACTCTGTTTTTTAAATACGGACTTGATCTCAGAGATATTAGAGGGCATCACATTCATGCTACACACGCTACACATCACATCTGTGACTCGAATTGAGAGTCCCAATGATATCACAATGACTGCTATTCCGGACCCTTTTGGTCATTTTATGATTCACATTATGATGGCAAATGACACTTACAGAAATGTATTAAGCGACTCTTCATTCAACATGAAAATTCATTAATTCGATTTGTTCCATTATGAGACAAGAATGTGAGGTTCCAGTGAGTCTCTTGGTTGTCAGGCAGCCTCACCAATTCACCTACATTTCAAGTCTCACATCCAATAAATTGAGACGAATATTGATAATTGTTTGTGAAATAAAGAGTTCCCTGGCAATACAAATGATGTTTTTTTGTGATTCGCTATGTTACCTAGCAAGACATGAATGTGACATCCCAGGGATATTTGTATTTACTGGGCATGTATCCGACGCATCCCAGAACATGGCCAAATGGCAGGTTTGAAATGAACTTTGAAATTCAACAATTTCAAACAATGCATAGACTCATTATTTACATAAAAAACGCGTGCGTAGTGATCCAAAAATCGATTTAGGTCCCTAACGACACAGTGGAGTAATGAGGAAGCTATACTTTCAAATTGAGCAATTTCTTATTTTCAGGGCAGCAAACTGTGACGTACATTCTGAATCTAGTCCGAAAATAGCTGATGATGAAGAATATAGCTAGCGAATAGCTAACGAATGAAAAACGATTGAAAAAATAGACGAAGAAGTGAAACTGGTAAACAAAAACATACATAACCACAAATGCACTCGGATCAGGAATGCAGAGAGTAGGCTTCATTCTGACAGGTTATGGTTTTTTAATTTATGCATTGGAATATCTCGAATAGAGCTCGATCCTAAACGAAAATATCAATGAATCATTATGGGCTACATTCGATGATACTATCCTTCCTAATTTACTGTCATCGATCAGAACAGAATGAAGCCGACAGCCATGGCTTCTTTCCCTTGTTGTGCCTGACAGTATTTTGAGTGCTGTGGACGGTCTCGAAGTATTTGGCGCTGTTGCAAGATATGGTCTACAACTTTCCTTGTTATGGAACAAATTCATTAGCAAATGATAAGTTATGAATAATATATTGTAATATAACGATAGGGAAAAATTATCGATACTATCGCAAAATATGATAATTTATCTTCATTAGTAATTAACTTCATTCAGCCAATGAGAGATTCATCGGAATTATTCATAATACTTGACAAAGTAGGACTGACGACCATATTATATCCCATTGCTGTTATGATATAGTTATTATACATTCAAAGAACAATTTCCGGAAATTTAGACATATTGATGATGTGTGAATGTACTTTCTGAAGTATTTCATAGGAATGGTGGAGGAGCCAAGTTCCTCTTTTATTTATTTTTTCTGAAGTGACATTTGCTTTTAGAAAAAAAAAAGGAAAAATACGCATATATATTAATTTTCTACAAACTTCACAGTGAGATAAGAACCTCAATTGAATACCAATTATTCACTATCAGTCCAGTAACCTATTGACAGATGGTTCTAGGTTTTGCTGTAAAAGCAGTGGCGTAACTACTATACCGCGCAAAACCCCGCGGTTGCGGGGGGCCAGTTCCTCGGAGGGGACCCTGGGGCTCTGGGTCCATCAACCAGAGCAAGGACTCAGTCAAATTGGTTGATACATGAATATTTTGAAATTATGAATATGCCACAGAAATAATTTTTCCATTTCTGCGAATAGTGTAGGCATGTTTTTTTTCAGTGTAGGTCCAGGCTGATGTGTGAAATCAACGATACAATCTAATTATTTTAAATGGAGAATTTGATTAAAACTAGTGGTGCTTCAAAAAGAAGAAGGAAACAAAAGTTTGAAGATGAAAAGTGTAAAATTTCCAATATTACCACGTTATTTACGAATACTACTACTGTTTCGGATAATACAGTTGAATATTATGATGTCCATCAAGTAGGAGCAGTATGATGATTGAAACAGGAATGGATGTTGACTTTGCGATTATTATGGAAGAAAAACTATCATTCCAGATTTTTTGGGATTATCTCTCCTCGTTTCTATAAAATAAAAATATGGATATTATTTCAATATACGTGTAGTAAGGACAAATCAGATGATTTGCCCCAAAATGTCACTGCGTTTAAAGAATTTTCCTATTAGAGAGCCTAAAAGAAAAATTCACTAGCTTGTCAGTGACAATTTATATTGAAAAAAGTTTGGAGAAGAGAAATAAAGGTATATAAAAAAAATATCAAATTTTTACTTAGCAAATGACGAGACTTCTGCTACTACTGCATTCGAAACTGTAGGTTCAGATGGTGTGAATATAAAAAGTATCATATCTGAAATCCACGAGGAGCCCATACCTGACTTGAATGCGAGAACTCCTGGAGATAGAACTGAGTCAGATGATTCATTACTGGATGTATTAATTAAAGAATCATTTCCTTGTGATGAATGCAATTTCAGTGGCTGAGAATTGAGCAACACGATTAAAATGTTTTCCGTCGACCTCGTATTAACGAGTACGTTTAATGTTCATGAAATCGTTCATTAATGACCCCTATTAATGATCAATTTGTCTATTAATGCACGATTGTTTTATAGGCAACCAAACATACACCACGTGCATTCATTGTTTATGCTTTAACTTACGGAATCTGCATTTAGATCGAAAATATGGATTTCATCGAAGATTTTCCGTTAACGGGTTCGCCTTTCCAAGTTTCTGACACCATTTTGAATCCCTGTTTTCTAACACAAGGAATTTATTTTCTATGTTGATCATTTCGACATATGTCAAATGTCACTAATGTCAGTAACAAGGCTACTGGGTGATTCTTAGCAGTTTCCAGATGAGTGATGAATTCGCAAACCAAGTTTTGTTCATTGCAGGAGAAATGGGAAATATAGTCGACGGAAAAATTTTGTAACCAACTTGTATATTAAAAGGCGAATAATGATCTCGAACATTAACGCGCTCGCTTCGTTCGCACGTTAAAATATCTCGATCATTAATCGCCCTCATTAATACACTAGTTGGTTAAATAACTATTATTGTGTTATTCACCCAAAGAGAATAAAGCGTATTGTGAAGCTTGTTGGTTATTCAATATAACTAATAGTTCATGGAAAAAAAGGACTTGACTGGAAAGGTTTCGAGGGGGCTCTAAACGATTATGGCAGGGGGGCCAAAACATGAAGTTACAACACTGTATAAAAGCAGAGGTTGAAATAAAAAACGAACTCACTCTCTCCTGCAGATTGTAGCACTTGGGAGTGGGATCATCGAACACTTTATCCTCTAAAGCCATCATGACCTCTCCCAGGAAGTCGTTCCTGCCGAACATGTCCGAATGCCAGACGGTCAGCCACAGCGTCCGCGACTCCAGTCCGTCCAACGGTACGTGGAACTTGAGGCACTCGTCGAACAGCGGGTTCAAAGTGTGCTTTTTCACCTTCGTCTTGCGTTTGCCGCTCTTCGATTTGTCGGGAAGAAGGTAAACCTGTGGAAACATAAGAATATTGGTGAAGCAATAGTTATTTTTGTATCTAGAGCGCGAAATGCTACTTTGGTGATCGAGATCTGATTTTTTTAACGAGGCGTAGCCGAGTTGAAAATATAGTCGAGATGACCAAAGTCTTTCGCGCTCGAGTTGCAAACAACATTTTTTCTACAAACGTGAAAAAAATATGAATATATAAAGTGAAAATATGCTTAGCTTGATATAAAAAATAGTGTTGAACTGGCTTGAAAGGTCTTCCCCTATCCTCCCTATAGGTACACACGATGTTCCACGAACATAATAGGAATTTCTTTTCGTGCGCTCCAAGAGATTAAAGGAAGTTATTGTTGAACATTCAGAACTGAATGATTTCCTGGATGTTTGCTCGATTGAGGACCACGGAGTTGAAATATATATATCTCATATATTTTACATAACAATGCGCGAAGTAGGTGTTGTTTTGTGTAATATATCATGATAACGTAGGAAACTGAAAAAAAGTGTCACTTCGCAATTTGTTATCAATGCGCGAACCTTGTCATTTTTTGACGTTTGTAGAAAAATACCTTTTTTCTACTACTGCCTATGAAAAGTAGCGCATTTTTCATAGCTTACTTAGTTTTAATACAATGTATTGCCCATACTGTGAAAAATATTTTTTTCTGTGACAGGAAAAAAGTTTGGCATTTCATCTCTGTTGGCAGGTTATAAAATGTCACTTTTCATAAATTACTTTTTTCCCGTGGGAAAAAAGTGAGTACTTTTTTCCTGGATATACAAGGTGTTTCTAAAATAGGTGGTCAAACTTTGGGAGTATATAGTGTGAGTTAAATAATTACGAAAACCTTGGTAACATTTTTTTCTGAAGTGCCCCCCAAGAAAGATACAGCCCCTCAAAGGGGGGTCTCGGAGAATGATTTTGTACTATTATCTTCAACACCTTGTATGATGAAAATCTAAAATTTTGTTTATCCACTAACTATTCAGTGCCGGTTCGAATGGAGTTAAAATCACCTCAAAATTAAATACAGGAGTGTGTCAAAATAGGGAGGTAGGGGGTAAAAATAACCCCAACTTTTCAAAATTGGTTTGTAAGGGTTTTTGGGGTTGGAAATTTTGAATTCGTTGTCGGAATTCATGAATTAAAAATAGACGACGAGTTTCGTGATTATGGTCTGATCCTATTGAAAATACTAAAATAAAAAATTTTGTTAAAAACGACCTTTTTTTAAATTTTATTCGCTAATAGTTCATTTTATCGAGATGCAACAAGAGCACCTTTTCTATGTAAATAGCCCTGAGATTTCATAATTTCATGTCAAAAAACTGAAATTGCGATGAACAAAAAAGTTGGGGTTATTTTTACCCCCTACCTCCCTATTTTTACACACCCCCGTATTTTATTTTGAGATGATTTCAACTCCATTCGAACCGGCACTGAATAGTAAGTGGATGGACAAAATTTCAGATTTTCATTATACAAGGTGTTGGAGATAATAATACAAAATCATTCTCCGAGGCCCCCCTTTGAGGGGCTGTATCTTTCTTGGGGGTCACTTCAGAAAAAAATGTTACGGAGGTTTTCGTAACTATTTCACCCACTCTATATGCTCCCAAAGTTTGACCACCTATTTTAGAAACACCTTGTATATCACATATATATACACTGTTGATGGCTTTTGTTGTGCTATTGTTCCGAAAAATGAGTCAATAATACCGTCTCCGAGAAAGAACTGCAAGTCCTTTTATCTTCCATTCGACTTCGCGGTTACGTATATTACTTACTAAACAACCACTAAATTCGCAAATTTTTTGAAATCAAATCACAGAATTAGACTGACAGAAGTGACAGCAGATATTTGATTACTTCCAAAGAATGATAAAGATGCCTACAACGCAGGTGTCCCTACTGTTAAAAACTTGAAATTTCACGTTCACTGTTTCATGTCGATAATTTTCAGATTTCAAAATAATGTATACCTTCTCAATATCGATTCGTCCTTTCTTCTGCCACAGAAAAAAATAGTGTATTATACACGGGAAAAATATTAGATTTTAGCTTACGGTTTTTTGTCTCCCTCCGCTACGCGTCGGGAGACAACACAACCTGGAGCTAAAATCTACTACTTTTTTCCCTTGTATAATAAATAACTATCTCTCACGACACTTTGCCAACACCACATACATTTCCATGGAGAATCAACAAAAATCGACCAAAACTTGGCTGCTGTTCAGCTTTGAATAGTTGTCACAACTGTCAGAAGATGTTTTTTGAATCCTTTAGGGTAGTTCTCATTAGTGCTTTTGATAGAAATCGCATTATCCATCAAATATTGATAAATCACCGCCAAAGACAGAGATAATGGAAAAAGCTGTGAAAGTTGGATTTGTTTCCGGAAATTTCAAGAAAAAAGTACGAATTGGCATATTGGTACGAAAAATTTATGGAATCTAAAAAAATACAGAAATAAAATCTTGTTCGGAAAGTATACTATCTTGAAATACTTTGAGGAACTAGAAAAGGCTTCTACTCTTTGATCACAATATTCAATGTGGCATAGAGTCACATTATGAAATGAATTACATTACTCGGATTCTTTGAATGAGTGCAGTTGTAGAAAAAGTATATTGTGCAACATGTGGGGAAAAGCACTTTTCTCACTTGTGCGTTTGCATCACTCGCCCTTCAGGCTCGTGCCACAAACTTTCGCACTCGTGAGAAAAGTTGAACTTTTCCCACTTGTTGCACAATATACTCTCTTTCCCTTTCGTGCGCTCCAAGCGATAAAAAAAACTCATGCTGCAAACTTCATTCTGGTAGGAAATCACTATTGCATTCCGTGCTCGTTAACCAATATACTATTTCCTACGAGCGTGCGGAAATAGTTATTTACCTAACAAGTGCGGAAATAGTTATTTACCTAACGAATGCGGAAAGTAGTACTTTTCCAGTACAAATCCAGATGATACGAAAAGAAGTGTATGTTTGGTTATACCGGATACTTCGGCCAATTTGAAAATGTAAAGAAGCTCTCTGGTAACTCTTTATCGAACGGTGAGTAATCTATCACTTTGCGTTTGCGCTATAAATACACAAATGTCGGATTTTCTGAGACATTCAACTAATTTTTTCCATCTGCAGTATTTAAAAGTAGACCACATGTTTACCATAACAATAATGTGAATAACAATTATCAATTCTGAAGAAGTTATAGATAAGACGTTATCATCGTTCTAATTCCATCTCATTTACTTAAGTATCTGCCTGCGTACATGCATTTCAATTTATAATATTGTTTGAGTAGGCATTTTATTCAAATGTTGAATGGCTTCATCCTCAGAATAACTAGAGCCTCAGAAACAAGTACAGAATCCACATAACATAATGAAATATAACAGACGAAGGTCAGAGCTTGGGTTATATCCTATCATCAAGATCATGACTCACCTTAACGTATGGATCCGATCGATTCCTTTTGGCATCTACGGGGGCCAAGTCTTTGCATTGTTTTATCTGTATTTCCAGAGCTCCAGCTTTGTAGTTGTACTGGAGGCCGAATTCAATCTGACCTCGGACAGCCACGGTGCCATATCGGCCTTCTCCGGCACCAGAGTATACGCTGGCCATTGAATCAGAGCGACACTGAAAAAAAAAGTTCTTAGAAATATATATTATAACTATAATAATAAAAAGAGTTGCCCACGGCGCTGTGTTGATTGTTTTCAACTTTTCGCACTTAGTTTTACCACGATGCCTAATAACAGACGATTAGGTTGTTTCAACGTTTTTCGTGGTAGGATATAGATCGATTCTAGTAGTTTGTACCTTTCTTTTTTCTGCGTGTATGTTCATAAGCATAGAGCTGAAATTATAAGGCACTACTCCATTCATAATTACAATACAAGAAATGCAGAGAATATTTACCCTCTTTTTTCAAGATTGGCAGTCTGACAAAACTCACATATTTATTGACGAAAAAAATGTTGCAACAATTCAACAATTTACTCAAACACAATATGACGGACGACGATCACCAATCATTCAAAAATCTTATTTAATCACCTAGTTATAAACGCATTTTTCACTACAAAAGAATTTTTACTTTCATGTCAGTTCTATGTGCGTATATTATGTAAATGTATCTCGGCAGAAATGTATCTTCTAATTCAAGTTTTCTACTATCTCAAACAAATAATCTGATACTATTGTGTATATTTGTAAATTGTAAATGTTCATGTTTATGATCTATATTTCATAATGCATTATACAGCGTGTCTCACTTTAAACGATGATCAGTTAGGAATTAGTAATTTTTTGCAGGAAAACTAACTTCATAGGATTGTTCCTCATGCTATAGATCCTCATTCGAATTATTTGAATAGGCCCCTTTTATTTGCTTCTTGTTTCAACTTGTTATCACATGACGGAAGTATGTCCGGAATAATAGCAGCAAATAAATCGCTGTTTGTGGATACTAAACTCGTTATTAAATCGCGGAATATAGTGCAAATTGTCGCACAGGATAGTGCAATTCTTTCATCAATCTGCCCAGGACAGTGATTGACACAGGTGCCGTTCGATGAATTACAATGTTTTTACTTTCCTTTGGGACATAATATATCATTTCGTTGCACTTAGGTGGTGATATTCCACAACCCAGACAGCATTCTACGAATGTTTTTACAACGTTCACAATATACCGCCTTCACAATATTCCAAAGAATATTCATAGAAAATGATGAGAATGTTCTGAATGTTCATATAATATCAATAGGCCATTTCATCCAAATATCCTAGGAACGTTCCTAGAATATTCCATTATATCCTATAAATATTATTCAGAAATGATCATAGAAAGTATTCTTCGAATATTCTAGGAATGTTCTCTAGGTATGAACAAATAAAATATCATTTCTACATTCTAACCTTATTCTAGATACTCTGAGAAGATGGAAAATATTTGATTGCTATATAAATATGTCCTAAATTGCTTCGTAGCAATAATGAACCATCCATGATCGGTGTATGGTATCTGTATAAATGTATGTTGGAACTGTAACGGTTTTTGGGTGAAATATATATCACCCTAATGGTCACTAATGGGACATACAGTTATGAACATAATTTCCTCCAATATCGTTCGTTGGAATATTTTCCATGCGGTTTTGAGGAACCTTGTATACTGAGAATATTCCTAGATCAATCTCAAGATGTTCTGTATAAGGTGTCCCGGAATTAGCCTGCCAAACAATACATAGGTCAGAGTGGTAGACAGATTCATACCAGAGTACTTGAACATGTGGAAATAATTGAAAAACCATTGAACCCCCATATTGATGAATATAACACAAAGAGTTCATTTCCAAATCATATCCTCAACCACCAACATTCTTTTGATATCAATAACGACCTGGAAATTTTACATATTTGCCAAAAAGATGCTCTCCTCAACCTTTTTGAAATTTTCGAGATTAACGCATCCTTAAACGCCTCTAATGTCATCTCACTAAATGAACAAACTCATATTTTGACTGCCAAAAATTTTTCAATTCTCTGGTTTTTCATTAATCAACTTATAGCAATATAATTTTCATCTTTCAGTTTTGAAATATTTTTCCTGCATTGGTCTCTACTACACTTTATGTTCATTCAAATTTATGTACCTAGGTATCTACTCATTGTGGGATAAGCAAATGTCACCTAAAGGGAGAACTCGGGAAATGGGAAGAAATTGAAAAGTCCTCCTACTGGAGAGCAACTCCAGGTCAACGACAAGCGAAAAGGTTCATCAACCATTCGCAGAACCGAGCCAAAGAGCTACTCAGCCTCAGCAAACCAGAGCTAAAGCTTATCACAGGCTTTCTCACAGGACACGGCCCTCTCAGGTACCACCTCAAAAAGATGGGTCTGGCGGAGACTGACACTTGCCGCTTTTGTAACAATGCGACCGAAACCGCGGAACACATCATACTTTGCTCATGTGAAGTATCAGTCCGCCAAAGGCTGAACCACCTAGAACAGGTCCATCTCACCCTTGCTGAAGTGGAAAAGTCAACCGTCAGGAAAATCGTAGGCTTCATCAGAAGTATAGGGTTAGAGGACCAAAACAAGATAGGGGTAATCACAATAGATCTTCTAGGTCGCAGTGATCGAGAGGTCTCTCAGCCTATACGACCCATCTACAATCTACAATCTACAATCTACTCATTGGTTTAGGTCGAGCCCAGACGGCACTGGATATTCCTAGAATATTCTCTAAATATCCCTGCCAAAAATACCTTATGAAGTCTCATGGAGAAATATAGATAAAATATGAGTATTAATAAGGATATATAACCGAGTTCTGTAGCGTATGAGTACATTATCTCTGGCACATGAACTTTCTAAAAGGTTTAATGATATTTCATGAGTATATGTGATTTATAAGCGTATACAAATATGGAGTATGAGAGTTTTTATCAGGCACAAGTGGTTTGAGGAGCCTATGACCACCAATAAGATATTCCACTTCCAATTGAAAAAGTATTCTATGCACATTCATGCGCCTTAGTATATATGAGAAATGTGTAGGAATTCACAAATAGAATTCTATTGGGTATCGTCAGGAAAAAAATATATCAGGATTTTTGAGTTTCACTAAGGAATTCCTTATCTGATTTAATGCGATTTTTATTAGCATTCATGTGACTCAGAATAACTGAGAATTTACGAGTTTCAATTAGACAATGAATGCCCAATCTGAAATGTGTCCAATGAGTGTTTATAAGACAACTAGTTTCTAGGTTTATGAGCTCAAATATGAAAACACGGTTCTAAAATTATAGGTTTCTTATCAGCTTGAATCCGGTAAATAATTATTGAGTAATCATAAGTTTTTAAAAGACAATATAGATATAATCTTCAACGTATTTCATGGGTTTTTGTGAGGGTGAAAAGTGTTCGATAAATTATGATATTCAATAGGGAACTGCTGCCATGATTCTATCGGTTGCTGATGAGTTTGTATGTGGTATATGTGGTTTCAAGTATTCGAGATTTCTTATAAGCAATTACTGATCTATAATGAAACGTATCTTATTAGTCAAGCTGAGGTAAGATGTGTTCCAGAATTCATGAGTGTTGATAAGGATTTACCGTTATAACTGTATTCGTATGTAATGATGTTTCATGCGTTATTTCTGTCTAAGAATTTTGGACAAAACATGCCTAATCTGAATGGTATCTAATAAGTTTGTATGAGATGTGTTAGTTCTGAGGATTTTTAGGGTTTGAAAAGACATTACTGATTTGAAACGGAATGTATCCTATGGGTCATGCTGAGGCTTGATGTGTATCAAATTTGATGGGTGTTGATAAGGGTATACCATTATGACTCCATTGGTATTTTGAGAGGTTTTATGCGAGATTGCTGTATAAGGATTCAAGATTTTAGATTAGACAATACATGTCTGATTCGAAATGTATCTGATCATTTTTTATGAGATATGTATCTCATGAGGAAATGTTTGTTTAAGGATTCATGAGAGTTGATAGGGATTCACCGTTATGAATGTATCCATACGTTGAAATGAATGATGCGTTATTGGGATTCACGAGTTTTGATAAGACAATACATGTCTAATCTGTATGGTAACTAATTAGTTTGTATGAGATGTGTATGTTCTGAAGATTTTTGTAGTTGGAAAAGACAATACTGATTTGAAATGAAACGAATCCTATGGGTCAAGCTGAGGCTGTATGTGTTCCAGAATTCATGAGTGTTGATAAGGATATACAGTTATGACTTCAATGGTATGTTGAGAGGTTTCATGCAGCATTTTTTTATAAGGATTCACAAGTTTAGATAGGACAATACATGCCTGATCTAAATGGTATCTAATGAGTTTGAATGAGATGTGTATGTTTTCGAGGTTTGTAAAGACAATGCTGAAGCTAAGGATATAATATGTTATAGACTTCTTGAGGGTTGATGAGGATATATGGTTATGACTTCTAGTATATCGAGAGGCTTTTTCGCAGTTTTTTCATGATGATTCACGAGTTTGGATCAGACAGTTCATGTCTAATATAAAATGTTTCCTATAAGTTTGTGTGAGTTTTCAATAGTACAATATTTTCAAGTTCAAAATATATATTATTAGATCTTATGAGGATTAATGACAATGATTGACAGTTGTTATATGATGATAATAATAAAACAAGAGGTTTTATGCGGAATCTGTTTACTAGTTTCAATCAGACAATGCATGCTCAATCCAAAAAGTATCAAATGAGTTTGTATGAGAAAATCAGTTCAAAGATTTGTAATTTCTAATGAGAACACGCACGGTTCTAATATTATAAGGTTACCAGCAGTTTTTATGAGAAATATAATTTTTGATAGCTCATAACTTCTATTCTGCAAGACACCATTGCGTAGGTACAATTTTTGTGTTCATATAATATATCAGAGTCAGTGCTTGAACGCACGTCATTGTTGAAGGTGAACATTATACAGGGCTCGGCTATGGACTCCTGGGATGAAAACAAGTTGATTTAGGCCAACTTACCTATATCCAAAATCGTCTCGTTAAATTGGTACAAGGCGTTGAAGTTTTTTCGGAAAAAATAATTTTGCTCATAAGAAGAGTAGGCTGAGATTG